CAGTCCCAGCTCTCCCAGCCTTTCCTCACAGGAGAGGTGCTCCAGTCCCTTCGTCATCTTCGTGGCCCTTTGCTGGACTCTCTGCAGTGTGTCCATGCCTCTCTTGTACTGGGGAGCCCAGAACTGGACACAGTGCTCCGGGTGTGGCCTCACCAGCGCTGAGTAAAGGTAGATCATTGAAGTCATCAATCCCTAAGAAAGGCATATATGCCCCAAGACTTACCTACATTTCTTCGTTTACCTCAAATTATCCATTACCAAGTACTACTGTACCTATGAATTTCATCTTAAGTGAAAATCATCACTGGCACGCATTCAAAAAAAACCCTTGTACTGATAGGAAGAATAGAACATGGCCATCTACTGCAATTCCTCCTCTTCAGATCTCCTCTGCTTCCCCCTACCCAAGAGACATTGAAATTCCTAGTAAAGCGAGAAATAATTCCACTGTCCTGCATCTTTGAAATAAAGTCCCAATGTCAAAGAGCAGTACATAACGCTTATAAACGTGCCAAGTACTTCAGTACAAAGTACAGTCAAGTGCTAATGGTACTGCACAATCATCATTCAGTAAAGCATCCCTACAAAAATCATCCAATATCCCATGAAGGTTTACCACCAAAGGGGTTCTCTACTGACTGTATTTTTATCTGTACGTTCTTACCCAGGTTTCAACATCGAGCATATGATTCTGAAATAATATACATATAAAAACAATGCTAATAACAAAATCCATTCCAAAAGCAGAAGTCATGGGAAAGTCACAGCATGTGACCCAATATGCAAAATCATTACCAGATGCTGGTTTCCTTTCAGCTAACAATCCCATGACGGGAAACTTCTGCTTCATCGCCCCCACCGAGTCTTAAAGCTGATTATATTACACGTATTCCACAACATCAACGTTGGTTAAGTGCTTCTAAGTGCTTTTCAAAAACATTGGGTTTGATTAACTTGCTTGTGATTTTTACCATCAATACTGACAAATCCAACTCGACATTGTCCAGTTGAAAGTATTCAATTATTAATAGGGCTGTATCTCATCCCACTGAATAATTTCAGTGAAGAGAGTCAAATACAGTTCCTCCTCAGACTTCTTCCATACCGCATAATAAAGGTTAGCTTTCTGTTGTTTGAGAAATTTTGAACAAGGAAAAAGAAAAACACGTCAAGGGTCTTATTCTTTAGAAAGACTTTGGAAATTGAAAAGAGACATTTAAACAAAGTTCCTTTATGCACTGTAATAAACTGCTCTTAGTAGGTGAACTGTAAAAGTTCTCTCAAATTATTTTTCCGGTATTTCTGGATACATTACAGGGATCTCGTTAGGTCATGCAGAGAGGGAATGAGAAAGGCAAAAGCCCAGCTAGAACGCAACCTGGCCGCTGTCATTAAAGACAACAAAAAAAGTTTTTACAAATACATTAATGACAAGAAGA